CACCTGGCCCACACAATGTTTCTTCCACTCCCCTTCGTTATATGCAGTGATTGTAAAGTCGTACCAACCGGAGTCTAAACTGTCGGTCAGTTTCACCGGTCGGAGGCTCGTGATGATCTCAACGTGCTGCAATTTCGCCTCTTTCAGCACCAAAGCAGCTCGCATAAACACGTTTTTCACCGAATATTCGGGAACCTGGGAAATCTGACGCATAGCCTCCCCAACCATTGCCACATATCCGGCACCTGGAAAGACGACCTCTCCCCCTATTTTATGTTCCAATAGCCACGGTACATTTTCAGCTTGCAGCATATTTCGCCATACAGGTTCTAAGTCGCTCGATTCTAGAGCTCGACTTCCTAACAGCTCGTGGTGGGGAGCTGACCGAAGCCTCCAGTCCCTCGTTAGACGGGTCTCACTCCAGAAGGATTCATTATGATCCCACGAGTAGGGAGCAAGGTCTGTCACTGTGGCTGCAGGACGGACTAACGACGATAGGCCCAGAGAAATTCCATGGGCGTATAACTGCCCAGCCGTGCTCATCAAGCATCTCCATTGGTCTTCATTTCGAATAAGGGTGGATGTGTATGAGCAGCTTCGCTTGGAATTTGTACCGGCGATGATTTGCCGCAAGGGGCCAGAGAGCACCGAGTGTGGTCCAATTTCAACAAATGCCAGAGCCTTTTCATCATCACACAATATCTTGCTCAGTGCCGTGCTAAACATGACTGGATTTTCCACATTTCTTCTCCAGTATGAGGGACTCAGAGCGCAAGGGTCAGAGATAGTTTCGTTTGTAACCGTGGATACTAGTGGAGTCATAGATTCATTGAAACAAATTTCCGAAAGTAGTGACTCGAAAAGTTCTCCCACCTCATTCATGTGGTGTGAATGGTAAGCCACATTGACTGCAAGACGCCGGCAGAACACCTCGCCTTGTGCTTGTATGTCTTTCAACATTTCATCGACCGCTTGCTCGTCTCCGGAGATGGTCACACTTTCAGGGCTGTTCTCGCACGCCACAACCACGCCATTCTTGAGATATTTCTCTGCTTCAGCACGTCCCAAACCGACTGCCGCCATAGCGCCATTTGCTTTTGCTGACTCCATAGCCAGTCCACGGAAATATGCGATCTTGATTGCAGAGGCGGCGGTGATTGCTCCTGAAGCATACGCCGCGGCAATTTCGCCACTCGAATGTCCTACCACAATGGACGGCACGACCCCCAGCTCCCGGAGGAAGTCCACCAGGGCCACCTGTATGGCGATACAAAGGGGCTGTGCAAACCTAGCCTCTTGAAATCGGCTTTTATCGTCGGCATGCATTAGTTCCTCTAGATGTTGTTAGATTCACGCTATGTTTAGGAAGAGATCATGACATGCCTTCGATACTCCAATCAGGTGGAGTTTCCAGTAGTTGTAATTCCTCATCTAGTCCCTGTATGACTGACCGGAATTTCTCAGAGCTCAGGATCATCTCTCGCCCCATGCCTGGCCACTGTGCGCCTTGTCCGGTGAAGACGAAGCAGATCTGCGGGTTGATTGCACGCGCTTTCTCAAATGTCGAAATCGTCCCATCTTTCTCCACGATGGCAAAGGCTCGGTGTTGCATGTGCTCTCGTTTAAACGCCAGTGTATATGCAAGATCCACAGCAGCGGCTGGGGTGCCATGTAGATAATCGCTGATTATTTTGATGTTGCTATCCAGTGATGTGGCCGACTTGGCAGAGGCGAGCAGAATGTGAGGTGGGCCTGGCCTCTCGTCGGATGCTACCCCAGACTGGGATCCTGCACCTACAGAGAGGGCAGAATCCAAGACAACCTTGAATTATTAGCAGACTTTCTTGGAATACCTTGTGGAATTATGATCGGGCTGAGCGCACTAATACATACATGCGCATTGGTACCCCCTATACCGAATGAATTGACGCTGATCCTCTCACATCTACCTGCCGGCCAAGGTGTTGGATCCACAGGAACTTGCAACTTTGCTTCTTTGAAAGGGACTTAAGTGAAAGAATTAGTAGTTTATCCCTTAAACCGCTAGGCAAGGGAGTGTCTCACTGTTAGGATTTGGGGTATTGAAATGTATATTGGGAGGAAGGATCCTGTGCTCAAGCGCGAGTACGCTCTTGATCACACTGGTAATTCCTGAAGCGCCTTCTGAATGGCCCAAGTTTGGTTTCACCTAGTATTTATCAGACACTGCATTATTTAGACTTGTAGTTATCTCGACCCTCGACTCACCGCTCCAATATGTATGCCCTCGTGACCAAACACATTGGCAATTACAGTTGTTTCTGCTGTGTCGCCAACGATTGTGCCAGTTCCGTGACACTCAAAGAACGCTGTTTTACTAATATCGGAAATTCCTGCTTTCTGATAAGCCTTCCTGATGAGTGCTTCCTGTGCTTGCGATCCTGGAGTTGTTATGCTAGGTGTCTTTCCGTCGCAGTTGACAGCTGTAGATCGTATCACGGCGCGAATGGGATCGCCATCCCTGAGGCATGCATGTAACGGCTTGATGTAAATTGCATTTACAGCTTCCCCTCTTCCATATCCATCTGCAGAGGCATCAAAAGTCTTCGAAATTCCATCTGGGGAAAGTGCCATGGTCTCCGAGACGGCGTTAGTGGTCGTTGGCGTGATGATCAAGTTAGTCCCAGCCACCAACGCTGATGAACATTCGCCTGTGTATAGTGCCTGACACGCGTCGTGTAAACCTACAAGAGCAGCAGAGCAACCGGTGCGAAATGTGATACTGGGGCCCCGCAGATCATACTCGTAGGATATTCGGTTCGCAAGGGCGAAATCCGCCGCGCTGACGACCCTGAACCGATCGATGGCCTGGGTGTCCTTGCTCATCAAATCCAACCAGTCTTCACCAAACACTCCAACATAACATCCAATGTCCTTTCCACGGCATTGGGATGGGATTTGACCCCCATTTTCCAAACATTCCCATACAACCTCAAGCAATATTCGTTGTTGCGGGTCGAGTTTTCCGGCTTCTAGCTTGCTCATGCCGAAGAATCCAGCATCAACCTGCGATATATCTTGCTGAAGGAAGTAGCCGTGCTGGGTCCGAATCGCACCAGGACGAGTCTCATCGTAGAATGCTTCAATATTGTATCGGTCCTCGGGAACTATGCAACGGCCATCGCGTTTGTTGATCAATAAGTCCCAGAGCTTCCTCTCACCATTGACACCGCCAGGAAGCCTCATCGACATGCCAACAATCGCGATCGGGAACGGGACGGGCTCGCAGTTGCTGTACACCTCTGGTTGTACCGCGCCATGGTGGTCTTTACAGTGTGAAAGAATGGCGCTCGGTGAAATTTTAACATCCAGTCCATCCATGATTTGGTAACTTTTCTCCGCTCGGTAATATTCACGCTCTAAGGTGGAGCAGGGACTTCCAGTCTTTTTTACTGAGAATCCGGTGATGGTAGAAGAGATAAACTGACACTGATAGAAGAGAAGCGATACACCTTCCACCCAAGAACGTTTGAACGGTATCTATTTTTAAGTGTGGGTTGCACCCTTCATATTAAGTGCGACCACTTACAACCCGTACTAACATTAGAGATCGTGTACGTATGCGGGATTGTCGAACCCACGTTCTTCTCATCGCACTCAAGTAGCGGTCAGCAAAGATCAGAAACGATCTTAACTGTAACATTACTACATCGTGGTTTGGTCTAGGCCTTGATGCTTTTCTACTTCTCTCCCCCTTTTTACTTGTCAATTCGACGTCTTAGTTTACTATTTCTCCCCCTTCGATCCCCGCGTGCTACCAACTGCCTCCCTTTGGCCATTGAGATAAGAAGTATGTTTGCATTGACTATCCATCAAGCTATGACAAGACGACTGTGTGTTGCTAGATTCCATGTTCCACACTCGACGCCCCTAACAAGCCTTGTCCTGTGTGCATTGTCACACGAGTAAAATCGGCGATAATGCAGTCAACGCCAGAGAGGACGGCAAGACGGGCGATCGCACATGCGTATTCGGAATGTCCCCAAGCCCCGGCATGGTGTAGGAGCTAGCCTCGTCATCAGTTCTACTTAGTTATTCTTGGGCAATTCATAGTTTCTTATAGAACGGTCGGTATGATGTGTTCAAACCTGCACTGAGACAAGAAGTGGCCAAAACAGCACTTCAGCTCCTCATTTCCCACCACTGGCACTGATCTGTAGGCTTATTAGCCAATGCCGAGGATGAAAGCTGTCTTGTAACCTTTCTGCTTCTCAGCTAGAAAACTTTAAGCTTCAGGAACAAATCAGAGGTCGGAAACAAGGACATTGTACATTACTATACTATCCCTTGCATGAAAACCCGTACTATGCGCGTAGATCTACGCGCCCCCTTGCATCCAAAGTTTTCCCTTCATACTTTTTACTTCCGGCGCTAGAGAATCATAAGTAAAAAAATCGTGTGACCTGTTGTTTTCTTAATGTGACCGAACAGAAAGTCAATTAAGGAGCTTAAAGCGGTGAAGACCGAAGGCAACGCTGCTAGCAGTGCAAAGACTTTTCGATTGATTCTTCCATGGTTAATCAGATCGAAAATGGTGCACCAAACGGAAAACAGACAACAACAAATACCCAATTGCAGAAATAATGTCAAAGCAATGTGGAAGCGTATGTTTATGTGGGACTACTATGGCAATGATCTACATTCTCAAGGGGAAAGGAGTAAGCGCGAGCTCTCCCTGACGGGACGGACAAAAGACCGTGTCATACCGCAGGGGAGGGTACTCTGCTAGTGACTCGAGCAGAGCATCACAATTAGGCTTGGTTCCTTTCCTTGACTAAGTTGTCGGTTAGACTAATAAACTTTGACACATACGCTGTCTGAGACTTGAATGCCCTCTACACCAATCCGCTCGACCCTAGACCCCACAACCATAATAATTGGCTGATCTGCTTATAAACATGTTGAGATACCGATCATCCAGAATGGGAATGTCCTCCTTCAGAAGATTGAAAGGATCACCACTATAATCACCCTTTTTCCTTGTGTTGCAGGAAATGATGAGAGGAATGTTGCTCGTCTAAGATGTTTTTTAAACAACTGGGGTCCTCTCGGTGCTAGTGTGCAATACGTCTTCCAACCTCGAGAAAACTACAATACATCACAAATCAAGCGACCATTCTAAACCAGAGGTCACCATGAAGTTCAACAACGCCGTGAACATTGCAACTGTTGCTTGCCTCAGTGTTTCTCCCACCCTCGCTCTGGTAACCTCGTGCTTTGATGCCCTCGACTCCATTAGCAAAATACCCGGCTACTTTATCCAGAATGTTCAGCTGAACGCCTGTCCGGCCGGTTGCGCACCCAACATCGACCAGTGGAACAGCGATGTGAAAGACGAGATCCTCAACGAACTGTTGGAAGATGGTATCCAATACACTGGCATCAATGATGAGCCGGCACAGAAGGCATTTGTTAAAGCCATTGATGACCTATATAACACGGTCGTCTCCAAGTGCCAGAAAGAGTCCGATGGTCTGAACCTCTGCGACGATGAAGACAAGGTACAGCCATTCTTGGATTGCGTCAACAGCAACGCAAAAACCGCTGTTCTCAAAGGGGTGCCCCCATTGCTTCCCTACATCACAAATGACAGGTGCCAGAAAGTCGATGAATACTTGAACAGCGATCAGCTGTGGAAGGATGACTTTCCGGAACACTTCAAGTCATATGTCGACCAGTGCCACAATATCTAAATGTCAGCAACACCAGCACTCTTCGACATTTATCTGGCCTTGAAGGAAGTCACGATGGAGCTCTATCATAGTAAATGGGAGGAACTGTTTGCAAAGAATCATAAGGGATGCTGTGGCTCATTGTATTTGTACCGTTAATTTTCAAATCCTCTTGCATGGACGCAGCATCTCTTAGTAATCATACATAATCCTTTGCATTTTCACAATATGATATGTTTCTCTATCAAGGACACTGCTCGCCTGCAGGACGCACTGTAAGCGTGTCCGGACCAGCAAGAGCTCAGTTTAGTGAAATGCATCCATGACAACCAAGTATGATTTATCCAGCTATATTGGAGGTCCCTCTTACATATACCTGATAATCTCTGAGATTTGGAACCGTCATGTCGCACATAATCAGATTAGTTTTGAACTGTGTGAACGCTTTTCATTAGACCTAGACAGTAGACAGGCTCTGCCACACTTATGGCACAAGTTAGTTTCAACACCGTAAATACTCTGAATTGCTCGAAACAGGCAAGAGGAGAGAATCAAGACTTAGGGCGCCGTTTATAGCAATTCTTGTTGCAAGACCTTGATTTTTACGAAGTACATAAGCCTCGTAATGTGTGAAGCACAAGGTTAGTACGGGTTTGAGCAATTGTTGTCACGGCATGGATATATATTTCAGTCGAGTTCAAGTGCTGCCCTACCGCTGCGAGATAGTTCTGCGCGATATATGGCCTACTTCGCCTTACTGATATAGACGAAAACTCGACTATATTAGACTGCCCTGTTCCATGTGACGCCTTCCTATGTAAAATCTGGAGAGTACAGGAGCTACGGGGGCGAGACTGATCTCAACAGGAAAAGGAAGGGATCTGCAAAACATTGCCTGTCACATCCGATTCCGTGGCAAAAAGGGTGTAACACTGCCGTTAAGATGATGTGACGTGCCATAACACGGTACTTGGGAGACGCTATCCTTCTATGAAGAAGTGTACTTCATACTAGTATGGTGGGGTGTCATTTAGGGCACCCAATATATCCACAAACGCTCACATTCCCATAACCGAGCTTTGGTACTCAGATAAGGCAAATTAAAGAGCTACGGTCACAACATATATTTGTTACATATCTTAGTAGTGGGGACCTCTAACATCCGAGGTGACACAATCAGAAGACTTACATAAGAATACATTCATGTTATAATCTCCCTCCCCTCCCAGGAGTCCAACACATTCAGTGCCCATCCAAAATCATCAGTACAAGATGTCACTGTTTTCCTTGTCCGGAAAGACTGCTCTAATTACCGGCGGCACCCGAGGAATCGGCCAAGCAATCACCATCGGGCTCGCTGAGCACGGCGCAGACATAATCCTCGTCCAGCGCTCACCAAACATCTCCGACACCCAACCGGCCGTAGAACGGCTCGGTAGGGGTTGTGAAGTGGTGCAATGTGATCTTGCCGACCGCGAACAAGTTGAAGGACTGATTAGCAAAGTTGTCGCCACTCATTCAGTCGACATTCTCGTCAACTGCGCCGCAATTCAACACCGCAGTCCGGCGGTGGACTACGATACGCTCCATTATGAAGCGGTAATGCAAACCAACTTGACAACTCCATTCGTTCTCTGTCGCGATATTGCCCGCCACTGGATTTCGCAGGGGAAGCGCGGTAAAATCATCAACGTGGCCAGCGTTGGCAGCTTCCAGGGCGGTATCAACGTTTCGGGGTACGCGGGAAGCAAGGGGGGCTTGCTGCAGTTGACCCGTGCGTTCAGTAATGAATGGGCTGGAAAGGGGATCAATGTGAATGCCATCGCTCCAGGGTATGTGATCTAATACGCGTTTCTAGCCAGGAGGTTCTTTCAGCATGACTGATCCGTCTTATTAGATACATCGAAACCGATATGACCGCTGATACCCTGACGGAGCCACACCATGCAGCCTATCGTGAGTCTATTATACCACGAATCCCTGTGGGCAGGTGGGGGAAGCCGGAGGATATGAAGGGGGTAGCAATTTTTCTGGCTAGCCAGGCTAGTAACTATGTTAGTGGGGAGGCGATCGTGGTTGACGGGGGTTGGTTGGCACGCTGATCAGCCTGATGTATCATGCCCATGACCTAGAGTGACTGCGCTCCACGGTATCCATCTGACATATCAGCTGGCGTTCTACGTATTATATTGCGAGTTATACACCATAATTGTTTTATATTCACAATGACACGTAGCAAAGACGGTTTCTATCTCCTTCTCCCAACAGCACTCGAGCCGTTTTGCCCATATGAATCGAGTTTACTGGAAGAACGCTCCTTCAGCAGTCATGGGATAGTATATCTCATGATTGTCATAAATGCTGAAGGAACGAGCCATTTTATCTCCAAAGCCTAGTATACGATCCTGATGAGGTTAATCATCAGCAATGGCAGCCACTTCTTATACTAAGCGCTCTCTTCTGCTAAGTTTTCTTCCTTCGCTCTCTGATCCTTTGTCGATGTCCACCTCGTGCAAGTAACTAATAGAAAGGACAGGACTGGTGCCGCTGTTGTTAAATACTAGATAACCCATGTTAGTTCGGCAGTGTCTAATAGAGGCAACAGGAAACGTACGAATACTCGCGTCACAGCACTACTGTACACAGAAATGACCACTAGGGTCTCCGTAGAGGGTACGAAAGAGCGCCATCCTGAAGCCCCCGCGGATATCACTTCATTGGCGACCATCGCAGAAGCGATATCGGCAAGTTTATTCTTGAGCTGGGTTTGGAAGACCGCTTCACCAATAGCCAGGAATATGGCACAGCTTCCGGAATTGACGAAGAGAAGGGTGATCGCACCCACAGGCACAAGGTCTTGGGGAACAGATGCCCGAACTCCTATGTTGGCTTAAGAGAAGAATTAGCCTCTATTATCAGGGACAGCGTGCACGGGAGAGCTGACCATGGTGACGATAAGAGAATATCCAATGTCACCTACAATCTGGAATCCTATCCAATGACCATCGGATGTCGAAGGATGCAGAGTCGTCAAAAGCCCACCACCAAGGAAAACCATTGCGGTGGCGAAAGTAAGAAAGGGGTTCCACCGTCCCAGTTTGTTCACCAGACCCGCCGCGATTAAGGAGGTGAGGACGTCCGATATGACGGTGGGCAAATACTTGACACCACTTCAGGTTGGAGAAGCCCTAAGAACAGCTTGGAACCGGATGGGAAGCCAGTATATGATACATTGAAACGCTCCATTTGCGAAGAAGGCAGAAGCACAGATAAGGGATATATTTCTGCTAGAGGTGAACAGTCGGCAGGAATCAAAGCTGCTTCCTGCATATGAAATTGTCCATCCGACACATATGCACGTCACTACCCCAGCACCTGCGAACAATCCAATTATATTTGCCGATTGGCAGGAGTACCTCTGACTGAGTCCACCAAATTGTAGTGCTATTAGCAGCATGCTAACAGAGCCAGCAAAGAGCAAGAAGCCAACGACATCCAAACTCCGTAGTTTTAGCCCTAAGGTATACTTTCGGTGGGAGTCCCTTTGACGTGGAAAATAACAGTATAACGACGGCGGAGAATCCGGCGATAGGGAGATTGATGTAGAAACACCATCGCCATGTAACATGTTGGGTAAGTGCTCCTCCGAGAATGGGCCCGACAATGCTTGCAATGGCAAAAGTCGAGTTTAGGGTTCCAGTCCAGACTGCTCGCTTGTGAAGCGGGATCACGGTAGTCAAGATAACCAATCCACCAGCGAAGATCCCGGAAGCTCCTAGACCAGCAGTAGCCCTTCCCACTATGAGGACTGGGGATGATGGAGCAAGGGCACAAACAAAACTCCCGACCTCGAACAGGGCAACATAGCTCAAGTAGGCAACCTTTTTGGAGAACAAGCTGTAGGTTTTGCCGGCAACGGGCTGGCTGGAACATCTACACAGGTGCATTAGGTGAACCCTTCGCTTCCACAAGAAGCTATCAGATACCTGGTTGGTACTTACAGTGAAATAAGGAACGCGCTCCCATACCAACCCAGATCTCCGATTGAATGGAAGTCCGAAGTAATGACTGGAATCGCCGTTGCGATCAATTTGAAGTCCTATTCCAAGCATTGGCTATATCTGTGATGCAACATGAGTGAAAAGCGGCTCTACCAAGCCAACCAGGAAGGTGCAGGGGCAGAGACCAATGTGAAGGAGAAGTAGCTTGGGGCCTTTCACTTCGTTGTCAGGGTCTATTCCTCCGTCTGTTTGAAGAACCGCGTCTGTGGAAGAGTCTTTCTCCACGCGCAATTCCAAGGGTGCGTCCCTTCTCGCGAGGTTGCCCATTCATGATGGTTCTTTGCTCAGGCAAGTTAAAATGATGCTGAAAGAAGGCAAGAGAGGAGCACCACAAGGATCATATCGCGGTTTCTGTAGTAGTTGAATGGCAGAACAGAAACAATAAGCAGAACGTCTGAGAGGGCAGAGATTGAGACTAGGAAAACCTAGTTCCTCCTATGCCCCTGATTATGACACCGGGACAGCAGAGGCTAGCATACATAGAAAGATGGACAAAGAGCACATCTTTTTATTCTACGCTTAGCTGCATGCTTGATTCACACTCTTACGGCGGGTAACGAGACAAATGAACCGATGGTGTTGGTATACTTGAACGCATTAATTTTGGCATAACATAAGGCGTATAGTCGAACGCCATAGGCGACAAGAAAAAACCACACATTAGAGTAGTTCCAAGTTCCTGGTAGACGGAGGGATTCTAGCAGAGATATCGAGAGAGGAAGAAAAATTAATATCTTGCTATGCTAATTGACACTTTACCTATCGCTTCTGATGCCCAATGCACTGTAATTTAGCTTTTATGACAGTTGTTGGTCGCCGGTGAGGCCCCTGTCCCAATAGTACCACGTCATATTATGTTCGGCGCTTCCATTCATGGCCGGGCATGATACACCGTCATAACCTATAGTTACCAATAGCCTCCAATTATTCCAGTCACATCTACCAGGGTACCTTAAACGGAGTGCACCCTGTCAAATGTGACCGGAACCTTCCCCGTGCATTAGTGCTTAGTCTAGCACGCGCCATTTATTTGGATGGCACGTATTTCCGTAGGAGGTCAACACCACAAGCACATCGCCAATATATTGCAGCCAAAAACATTAATATTATAATTGGCTATATCCAATTTAGAAGAGCTAACGATCGCCGATCACGCCCGGGGAATACAGGTAGAGCTTGACACCACTGCGAGGCTGAAATCTCCACGGAGCAGAACTAGACGCCCGATAGACAGCGGCGACGTGAACAGTGTGATGGCTGAGAACAGTCTGCTGTAGATACTGCAAAACTCTGCCCTTGACATAGTTCCGTCTGATCTTTACTGCTATGTATGAAGGCAATTAGAAATATGTATAAAGTTAGTGTTCAATATTCACTCTGTTCGCAGCGAACCACACTCTCTGCCAGTTACCAATCATATATCATCTAGTTCGCGATTACATTGACTATTGAAGCTAGCACTGCTGCTGCTCGATAACGTTGGCTATGTACTGCTGGTACTCTTGAAAATCCTTGATACCCTTCGGTATACCATTTGGTTGCAGTCCTTGCTCCTCCATTAGGTTCCACCGAATTTCCATGGCCTTTTGCCACGAAGACCTGCTCTCCATACGCTTCTGCCATGCCTGCACGTTCGGGTATGGCGCCAAGGGATCTTCCCCGGACGGAGTAAGCAAGGCCATGTTAAGGCGTGTATTCCAGGGGAGGAATGTTAGGTCTGCAAATGTACATTTGTCCCCAACAAGCCATTCCTTGCCTTCAAAAATCGTATCAAGAACGCTCAACACACGATGGACCTCTTTGGCGTACCAATCAATGGCGGAAGGAAGCTTTTCGTGATTTAGGACGTTGAACCTGGACTGTGATAAATTAGCACTGGCCTGATAGGGTGCTGGCATATACAGAAGGATAGAGAAGGCTAACGTACCATCCGCACTGCCCAAAATATGGGCCCTGTCCGCTCATTTGAGGATGTAGATACTAATTAAGAAGATGCTTCTCATTTACCGAGTCGTAGGTGAGTTTCTTATCATTATCGTACACCTCCAAATATTGAATGATTGCTCCAGACTCTCACAAGGTCAAATTGGTATTGGGGTCAACAATTGCTATCCGTGGAAAAAAGCCTCCTGAAGCGTTTGCAGATGCTGATGCACATGGCTCGAAGAGAAGAAAGCATGAGGCAACAAACCTGGGACCCGACCGTTGGGGTTGATATTGATGAAGGGGGCTTTCTTCATGTCTTCGAATTTGAACGATTCGATGACATACGGGACTTGCAGTTTCTCGAGGATGACAATGACCTTGACAAGATGTGGTGTCAATTCTTGATTATAATCTGCCATATGACTTTACTGACTATCCATGGATTTGGTCCAGGGACTATGTCACACATTAGCAAGCGAGATTAGCCATGCCAGCGGAGAAAATACTGTATTGATGCGAGATCATAGGACCAGGGGTGCCTTACGGGTCAACCAGACGGTAATAGGTTTAACCATGTTGTTGTTGGAAGGGGGTTCACTCAGCAGTAAATTCGCAGATGATGGGGGAGGTACCAGGTTGAGTAGGAGACGCCTTCTTATGTATCTGTTGAGGAGCATTCAGAGAGGGGAGTGTAATGGACCCGTCCTAAGTCACGAAGTGATGTGTTGTGATGCCTGTTTAGCACGACAGGGATTCCACAAGGCTGTCGCTGTGGTCATTTCTTTGTTCCATTCCTGCCTAGAGTCATACGGCCTTCTGTAAAGTAAGCCATCCTCGATGTTGGTGTGTCTACACTAGAACTGGTTAGTCATATTTTAAGTGCTTATCATGGCACCTAAAATCCACCGGGGCTGCTCGGAGGTGTAGTGTTGGCGTACAGCGGGATGTACGGCGTAATACCCCTCATATATACTCATTGCCCATTAGTAAAGCCGACGGAATCAAAGAGCAATATCTTTTCAATATTGCTGCCTATGGATATTACTACATAAGTCAAGTAGATAAAATTATAACGAGGGTTTGCCATATATTAGTCAAGAAATCGATGAGGAAACCGAGCAAGGACTCTTGGAAATGCATCTTCATTCCTCCTGGATTTATTCAGTTGGCGTCAGTTCTTATCGGGTAGATTCATGTTTTCTTGAAACCAGAACGTACTCCTTACTAATTCATCTGTGATATCATGGCTATTAAGCGCATTGATATCTATTTCCAGTGTGACACGGCAAGACATGGGATGAGGAAGTGAAGGTAGGAAGCTTATCTGTACTGGGCCATTGACTATATAACCGAGGTTTGTGCCAGCAATATCTCTTTAAAAAGACACTTAAGCTATCACCTACCTAACAGGGTTTCCGGAGAAAGACACGAACTCGTCAACAATTCTATAGATTGATCCAGGAGGTAGAATGATGCTTACAAAGGTACTACAAATAATTGATGAAAAGCAGCGACTTCTGCCGGGGTGTATTCATAGGACGCGATGAGACAGGAATAAATATACTAAGCCACAGCCACACCCCGGGAATATCTCTTCAGAAAGTCATTGCAAAAGATAAATTGTACGGCTTAATTCTTCACTAAGCTGGTCATACCCTTAAAAAATCGGCTTCTGCCTGGTGGCTAAAGCGAAAACAATACTAACTGAAGTAGATGAACCCCGGCCAGAGAACACACACTCTCCTCAACACTCTTTTGATAGCTATAACCTTCTACAGGGATAGCCCTTGCAGCGCTGGATAAGGAGAAATATTGATTTAGTTTAGAATTGGAGGCGAACCATGACACTACTGCTTTCGTAATCGCGAGGGCAGGCATATAAGCTACTTCAAGAATGGTATTTTTGCTTCCAGCAAGACTCAAAATCTTCAACTTTTTTTTATTTTTTTTTTACACCCAGACAACATGCGCATTCTCTGTCTACACGGCTATGGCACGAGCGCCGAGGCCCTCCAATACCAGCTGTCGGGCCTGCTTCATTCGGCAGATCCTAGCTGGGAGTTTCATATGCTATCCGGCGAGATTGAATGCTCGCCTGCACCTGGTTTGCAAAACCCTTTCAGAGTCCTACTGGAGAGATAGAATATCTAACCACTATTCGATGACCCGCTCGAAGGCATCGAAACCAACTTTACTCCCCCATATTACTGCTGGTCACGCACATTTGACGCACCATCCATCAAGGAGGCTCACACCTCAATCACCGAAGCGATTGAGGATGAGGGTCCCTTTGACGGTATCCTAGGATTCAGTCAGGGAGCCTCAATCATTGCCTCCTTCCTCCTCGAACAGACTGCCAGCCACCCCGAAGGACCACTCCCATTTCGGTTTGCCATATTCTGCTCGACAACAATTCCCTGCTCCTCGGACCCTAACTACTGCCAGTCCTTAATGGGAGGTCTGTCTCGGCAGGATCAGCAGCGGATCCGTTCTGGGCAGGATGATCAGCTTGCACAATTGCCCACATCCATTAAGGCACCAATTGAAGAGTTTGTCAAGGTGATCAAGGCAGGCCAGTCGATTACTCGCGAGCCAGTTCGCTTCTTTCTGGACCGGTCTATCGAAGAAATTCCCTGTGCCTTGCACCCGGACCATTTTGCGGGCCGCCTCTCGATCCCTACCTTGCATCTACGGGGTCATAATGACCTCCCTGGGTTATCTGACTGCGCCTTGCTAGTAGAGAAATTCTGCAACCCCAAGTGTCGCAAGACCATTCTACATTCTGCCGGACACGATATCCCGAGAAGTGGGTCGGAGCTGAGGCAATTCAGGGCCGGATTGGAATGGCTAATTGCGCAAAGCCAGTTGGCACCTCAGTAAGATGTCGAGTACGAGGAAATTGTCTGGGATAGCTTTTGTGGCGTTGTTATATAGAAGCATTCCTTGTTCTACATTGTCAATGCGTATGCGTTATATGCAAGAGGTACTTGGACTTGTTGTGTTACCGAACCAGCGGTGTGTCTCAGAACATTTTCAGTAGACCTGCAGAGAGCATTGCGGGCAGTTTAAGCGGTGTAACATTGGCAGCGGTAATTCCCGCTTCTATGTAGAATGTTCCATAATGTGCCGAAGAATGAAATGCGCAGCATTTGACCGGAATTTTCATTGCTGGAGCGTGGGGGCTGAGCTACACTCCTAGGAAAATGATCTAATGGAAGAGTCCAGTGGCCCCACTCAGTACATAATCCATCCCACTGGTACATGGGGCCCAGGTCCAGATTACCCTCATGGACCAAGGCGAACCTGCTGAAGGCTGAGTATTACTCCCTCGCCTCCTTGCAGTGTTCTACATTTGGGGTACAGGAGAGATCAAGGAAATATTTTTGGGGCAATAACCTTAATAGCCTTTGGTGAAATTATGAGCTCTACTGATGGGCCTTTTCAGGGAAGGAGTCTCAACCTTAAGATTCTGGATTTGACAGGATAGATAAATCTTCAAGTATCCAAGAAGTACACTTTGGAACTCAAATACTAGAGATACCCCCAAAGCAGATCTAAGTCACTGTCATGTGGCCTGACCGCAACGCGTGAAGATTAAAGCAAGGGGGAAGGGAGGGAAGGGGCTTGTGATGAGGAACTCACGTGCTGGATTCGCCAGCGGTGCACGCTTGGAATTTGGCTGCTAGCTTCTCAGATCTGTCATCGACAAATGTACCGATAACAGAGGATGATATGCATACACTATGAACCTAAACTCCCTGCGTGCAAAGCGGGCTACTACTTAAAGACACACATCGGTCCAGACCTTGTGTCCACTGTCATCCTTGAGCATGCAGAACCCGGATCTATACGCCAGGCCATGATCGGTATTTTGGATCTACGTCACAGGGAAGCTTTTTCCGGAGATCGGATCGATCAATCCCAGCTAATCCGGCTACGTGGGACCGATGATCACAACCCCTTAGAAGAAGTTTAATCGGCCATTACCATAGAGGCTTTGCCTTAATTTGTTAACCGGTCACTTTGCTGCATAAATCCACAACACACGAGGACGAGGCAAATATACTTGTTGGCCGCCATTTTGAGAGGTATCGATTCTCGCAACCCGCATAAGAATAACAGTAATAAGCAAATATTGTATAGTACTCGATTAATTCAGACCTGCTCAATTGGCGTCCCTTCACCCGACACCGTGCTTCTGCAAAGGACGTCAGCGGTCCGAATCTAGTCTCAGCAGCCGCATGAGAATCACGTTGTCGTACATTAAAGCAACTGTGCTAATAACAAACTGCTCCTGAAATGGGCTGAGACACATTTGGTCAATTTCAAGAGTCTGCACACGCGAAGGCTCTATTAGCCTTCGAGACGACAAGGCGAGCTCATCAAAAAAAGCCGTAAAGGCAGTCACGTCATACAGCTAATTACGGAACACGAGTGTTCCTTGTTATTTGGTGTATTTGGCAGGTTTTGAACAAGCCACCCCTTGGAAAGACAGCCATACAGGACTCAGGCAAAGCCGTTCCTTGCAGTGTCCATTGTGTTTCTGTATTGACTCAAGGCTTGTATACGTATCACTACCCACGTTCCATTCCTTAGAAAAGAGTCTGGAACCAGTAATATTAGAATGCCATAGTTGTTGCAGTCGGCAAGGTATAAGACAGCAATTGAGAGGTTCAATTGGAATCCAGCAAAGCCTAAAGGAATGTAGCGGCTATGCGCACACACTACATAAAGAGAGAAGGGAACAATGCCGTTGCTTCATTCTGCAGAACAGCAAAATCCCCTTGTTGCCACGATATTATACTGCCACTTGCATAGGCCTGCATGGGCTCTGTCCTGATACTCCAAGAGGCAGATCGATTTCCAATGACTTTGTCACACTATTACGCAGCTTCTTTCATGATTTTGTTCTTTAGTTGCCCTGAGCTGCAGTGATACCCGCAGGAGAGACTTGGAGTCGGAAGGTAGCAAGCTATCCGCTAGCCGATTGGCGAATCTGCCGCTACATAGACCATCGTGTCTTGTAGATAGGATCGCCGATCATATCTACCTTGATGCCCAGAAAAAAGCAGTGTCCTTGCGTGGTTTTGCAAGCCTTGCATAGCGGTCGTCATAGCATGTAGCAGAAAGATCAACAAGAGTCTAAGTACCCCTAATTCTCTGTGACGGGCGGTGGCAGTGCTGGGAACGGTTTAATCCGGATATGATGTAAATTGTGGTAGAGATTGTATATACGTATAAAGAATGGAAGTGAATCCAAAAAAATGTGCCGAAGACTTGAGATAACGGAAAATTAGTCAACGTGAAGTTACTTGATTAAGAGACCACCTTAGTGCATTGAGGTGACACGGCGTCGTGACGGCCTACCACTATGAATAATACATCATCATGCCCGGAGCCTATTGCAGTGATAGGCCTGGGCTGCCGTTTTTCTGGCCAGGCGGCGTCGTTAGACGGCTTCTGGGAGATGTTGAGAGATGGACGAAAGGAACATGGCCCTGTACCCGGTAACCGATATCAAGCCGCGGCGTGGAAGCATCCGAGCCATGAAAGAAAAGGTGCCGTACGTCCTCCTCCTCTGCTCCTGACAACAACTCCTC